GGCGCCGCCGGGCTCGGGGCTCGTCGGGGAGGGCGCGACCTCGGGGGCCCGCCGCTGAGCGCCCGGGACGTACGTCGGGGTGGATGCCTGTCCCGGGAGCTGACCTTACCCAGGTCTAGACAGACGAGGGAGGCTTGTACAAGGATACTGGTAAAGAAGGGGGTTCGGGGTGTTAGGTGGTTTTGTCCATCCGGCCGCAGAGGCTGCACACAGAGGAGTGGGCTAGGCAGCCTCGTCGATTTGAAATCATTTTCCCGGTTATTCTTCCAGAAACAGCTGGAAAGGAAGATTGATACGTGTTTGTAATTTTAGGAAAATGAAAATCCATGGCTGGTCCGGCTGGAGGGCGGGACGGGAAAATGAGTCTGGTGAGCTTGGGCATCCACAGGCTTCCCTTTCGGACGATGGGGCTGGGCAGCGGCATCCACAGGACGTCTGTTCTTTTTCTTTTTAAAAAGGCATTTTTTTGGGGGGGGGGCTGCAGTGCCTTCCTTCCCCCGCCTTGTCTTTTGTTTAAGGATGGACATTTACAGACGGAGTGTGTAAGAGGCGTGGGGAGGTGTGTATTTGGGTGGGGGCGGGGAGGTGGTAAAGCGGTAGGGTCAGGGAAAAACATCCTTGAAAACTGGAAATTGATGTAATACTGCCTGCGACGGGGCTTCAGGATTTTGTTAGGAAATAAAAGGCTTTCATTAGCGACAAGCCCGTTCATAAGGATTGCGGTGTACTGTCTGCTGTAAGTCCCTAGCATAATGCTGAGGAGATAGACCCTTTAAAACTGACTCAGTGCGAAAGGTTTTTGTTTAAATGCGCGCACACACACACACTCATGCACATGTGTGCACACCACATACACACACACATATGTAATACTATATACATGACACTGCAAAAGAGAGTGGATACCTAAGGCACAAACCTTTTTAAATTTACCTTTCAGGGTTTGGGAATTATGGTGTAAATGAGATCTGTAGTGCAGAACAAAAGAATATTGTTGGTGGTGTATAATTTTGAATGTGAGGCAGAGAGATTGATGAATGTTGGTAAGGAGCTAACTTCCATGTTAAAGGTATTATTTATTTAAAAATGGTCACTCTGGGAATGGCAATGACGACAAAGTGAAATTGAGGTTTGCAGCCGCACCGAGGCGATGGAGAACAAAGCCTTTTATGTGAGCCGTATTATGCAAAATGTCCCATGCTTGAGCTGCAGGTACCGGCCCAGGATAAAGCGCAGCTCTGTCACCCTGTCATTTTACTGTGTGCAATTATAATTTTTTTGGCAATGAAGGTAGATTAAATAAATAAAAGCCCTTTAGAATGCCCAAGAGGACGATTACCTTCTTTAACCTGAACATGACACAAAACACCCCTTTCACTCGGCAATAGGCATCTATGTATTTCGGCAGAAATCTTTATGAATTTGTAAATCATGGGTCTCTCAATCACTCCTTCCCCTTTATGCACAAAGGTATCCTCCCACCAAGAAAAGATGAGGCATTTTTTTTCTTTCTATAAAGACTATTTTATTTGTGTGTGCATTTTAACATTGAGTTCCTGGTAATTTTATCTGATTACCATAGGTTTACATCTGTATTCATGATTTGCATATTATCAGGGCTATTGTGTCTTTAGGATCAGTGATACATGCTTTACTTAATTTTAATTTATAGTAGTTCACAGTTTGCTATAATATCTTTAATCTCTGAAAGTTTTTTTTTCAAAACCTCCTACGTAGAAAATTGCTTAAATTAAATCTGGAGATCTAAGCAATTTAAAAAGTGAGCCTCCTTTAAAAAACACACAGTACTTTGGTTGCATTAATTTTGATTTTCTTTATTTCTCTCCTTTCTTATCCCCCCACCCCCACCCCCACCTCTTTTAGTCAGATAACCTGTTTCTTTCTGGCAGGCTGTGCTGCTTTAAGCTCCTCGTTGTGTCTAGACGACCAAAAGCTGAGCTCGTGCTCTCAGGAATTTCAAATTTAGGACTTGTTAATCACCTGAACAGCTCTTTCGGGATGGCTTGTTTACGGCACCTTTGCAGGGAGGAGAGGGAGGAAGAATGTGCTGAGAGAGCATGACCCAGTGAAACCGGCGCAGCGTCACCTCATCAGAGTAGCTGCTTCAGAGTCATTGAGAGCAGGCATCCTCGGGTGGAAACCAAACACCAGGAGCACACCCGCTCAGGGCAGAGCCCTTCTCTCCCGCAGCAGCCTCTAGGAATGTTGCTCTCCTGAGGTTAAAGGGATATTTTCTTTTTTATGTGTTTCTTTTCAGGGCTCTTGAACGTGGTCAAAAATATGCAGGCAGAAATGAAACTTGGCACAGAGTCTTCTAAGCCTGAAGGAATAATTTCATTCCTTTACCGTTTTTGACTTAAATCAACTTGCAAATTTTCTAAACATCAGAAAGGAGAGGGAAGAAAAATACTTATTGGTGTATTTTTGCATATTTTTTATGACACACATATTTTGTGTTGGATTTTACTAGCAACTAGATAACAGACTGGACTGCTATGCCTTTGAGAACTATAGTTGCACAGTTGGACTTTAAAATTAAATAGTTATTACATTTGCTTAAATGTATACATGGAAGCATGTAATTATTGATATCCATGTGCAACAGACCATGTGAAACCAAGTTAAGGATTTTAGTATTTGAGTTGATTACTCTGATTAATGAATTCTTTTTAAAATATGTATTTTTTAATTGATTTGAGAGAGAGAGGAAGGGAGAGGGAGAGAGAAACATTGATGTGAGAGAGAAATATCAATTGACTGCCTTCTGTATGCATCCCGACTGGGGGCTGAACTCACAACCTGGGTATATGTCGTGACTGGGAATTGAACCAGAGGCCTTTTGGTGCATGGGTCAATACTCAACCAGCAGTGCCACATTGGTCAGGGATTGATTAATGAATTTTTTTAATTCTTAATTTCCTTTTGACAGATTAAGATAAAGAATCTTAAATAACAGCTGCCCTAGATGATAACACTACCTCCAGGTCAGTACTGTACTTCTGAATGCTAAAAGTTTAGGTAAGGCATTAGTAAACGTATAAAATCTGATAACATTCTGAAATAGTCATATGCTGTTTTATCTCTGATACTTGAGTTGAAGATGCTATTAAGTTTTTGAGTCCTTTCTGACTGTCAGATATGCTTGTTCTTTTTGCTACTTTTGTTCTCTCAAGCTGTTTCATCTTATAAGTAAAATTAATTTCTAAGAGGCTTATTAACATAACAAAAAGCAAAATAAAAAGGAATTTATGAATTTAAGGAATTTACCAGTAAAGTTGGAGAGATTTGTTTCTTTTATAAGAAGCATTCCATGTGTAGCTGTTGTGTGATAGATATGACACACAGTACCAGGGACTGCCCTCAGACATGGAAGCAATGCTTTAGGGCCTCAAAGACAAGCTTTTATGCATCAGTTATATAAACGTTCTAAGGAATCCTACCTTCTTTATTTCACATATATACATTTAAATCAGGGAATGATAAACTATAACTCCCTTTGAGTGTGTGTGTTTATATCCACATACATAATGCAAGCACTTACTACCATCTCTCAAATAGTTCAAGCTGTAGAACATGTCATTAAATGCTGGGTAGCACATGGAAATTCCAATTCAGAGTATTTCAAGAAACACCTTTTGGTATTCTCAAGGAGGTATCAGTCCCAGGAACCGATTCTAGGCAGTTAAAGAACCACAGAGCAGTTGAAGAACTACAAAGAAGTGGTACAAAAAGGGCAAAATCAAGGGAGAGGATCTGTGGGAAAGTTTGGGTGAGCGGGTGGGGCTAGAGGGAGACGATGAACTGATGGAAATTCTCAGCCGTTAGTAGTCGTCCACTTAGGATGGAGAAGCATTTTGCCTAAGAGGGTGGAGAGGGAAGACATCTGTTTTATTTTTCTACCTCAACATCATATTTTGTCTATATCCTTCCCTTGTCATTACTTTGAACTAATGGTCGTAGGTGTTTCCTTGTAAAATTTATTAAGGGTGCTTATTGGAAACAATTCTGCAGTGAATTAAAAATTTTAAAACAATGCGGACACAGTTGTCTTTTAATGAAAACTACTTTGACTCTAATCTTTGAACTTAATCTTTCCTATTCACGAGAGGTAACCTTCCCTTTGAGTGGTAATATTATAAACGGTGCTTTTTACTTATACGTTTTATTGAATTCTGTGGAAATTTAGGCAAAAATAAAGAGCACAGGATTTCCTCCTTCAGTCAGTTGTTAAATTTATATTGTGGACTTTGGGGGAAAGTTTAAACAATTTGTTTTCCATTAAGACACACTAGAGGGGGAAATTTCTATATAATTTTTTTCTTTGTTATGTTATAAGCCTTTTAGAAAACATAATTTTACTTACAAGATTACACAGCTTGACTTATCCCTGCCCTTCTTTCCTTTCTTCTTTCCCCCTTCTCACCCTTTTTCTCTTTCCTTTGCTCCTTCCTTTTAATTGATATTGGCAAAATAAATAAATAAATAAAAATATCAATCATTAGAAAATGCAAATACAGCCTGCTATTTTTATTTGAAATTTTAAAAATTATATCTTTATTTCAGTTTTATGCTCCCTGTCCTTTTCAGATCTGCATCCTTCTCTTGGTCTTTCTTTGATCTTGGCTTTTATACCTTCTAGCCTTGAATAATTTTTTTTATATTTCCAGCCTTTGATCCTGCTTCCTTTCTCTAGAGGGCCTTTCTAAATCAGGAAGAAAAGTTACTACCTTGTTTTTTTCCATTATTTGTACCCAGAGTTTAGCTCTTGGGTCGGGGCAGCAGTGAGGAACCATTCCACTTTGATTCTGTTCCAGTTCTGATTATATTCCTGTTCTCTGAGCTCAGAGTAGGGTGAGGTGACTCACCTGTGACTTTCACATGAATATAAAAGAGGGAGGGACTCAGAATTCTAAAACCATTCCAACCAGCTACGCGCCAGCTACACTACTGAGAGTGGTGAGCCTAAACCTGATCCAGGGAACGCTGGCAAGGCTCCTGCCCTAGGGCCATTCCTGTGGTTTGGATCTCTTAGGATACAGGTTTAAACTCCTTGGGGATGTGTGCCCAGACTCAAGGTACTTGGAAAGCAAAGGAGTTTTTTTTTCTTTAACTTAAACTGTTCATGCTGATGCCTCCAGATTGATTGAATCTGTGTTTAAACTTGGTTCTGTGTACAAAGGGAATCCAACAAAAATAGCCATGTTGAAACTTTTTCCTGACTTTTAGAACCATGAAATGTCCTCAAAAATAGCTTTCCTTTTGTGTGGTCCCCAGCTTTAACATTTTTAGCTTAAAGGAACTGAGCTAGAAAAGTTGTGGGCCTCTGTCTGTGCCTGCTTCCTCTTACTTTCCTGCTCTTGTAAGTCTTCCTGTTTCTCTGCCTCCAGTGCTCCATCCCTCTTGTGTTCTTTCTTTCCTCCTTCTTTCTAGGAGATGACAATTTAATTAAGAATTAGGTGTTTCCATGGTTACTGTGTTCTGTAGAGCTTTACCTGCACCCACGCTGCTTAGGCATTGTGGAATCTTGAGTTGACAAATATTTGAAAGGCATGAAGAGCATCTTGGAGGGACAAAATTAAGCAGAAACCATGCTTAAATATTTAAAGAGAAGCATGTTCCTAGTCAGTGAAAACTGAAACTATACCGCTGTCTAGGGAATGAAGGGACTCTAATGTCACACTTCTGTGAGAGGATGTTAGATATTATGTTCTGATGTCTATGTCATGTCCTAAACATATGAGAACATGTTTAATCACCCCTCAGGACTGGAGTATTGGTTTGCCACTGAGTAGATGCACACTTGTAAAAGAATGGCTGTGCATGTTGTCTTCCCCTGAAGTATCTTTATTTTGAGCCATAAATACAGGAAAAAAGCCATCTTAATCACACACTAGAAATCTACACTTAAGAAAGCAGGTCTCGCCAGTTGCTCAGCGGTTGAGCGTCGACCTAGGATCCAGGCGATTGGGGTTGAATTCCTGGTCGGGGCACGTGCCCTGGTTGCGGGCTCGATCCCCAGTCGGGGGCGTGCAGGAGGCAGCCGATCAATGACTCTCTCATCACTGATGTTTCTCTCTCTCTCCCTCTCCCTTCCTCTCTCTGAAATCAAGAAAGACATATTAAAAAAAAAAGAAAGAAAGAAAGCAGGTCTTCCAAACTATAAGATATTCTGTGCTGTTCTTTGATGTGGTTTATTGAATGAGATGGTCTAAAAATCTAAGTGATCTATAAAGAATTAAAATAATACCTTTTAGTAAATGATGTTCTTGGGAAGGATTCACTCTCTGTCTTTCTGCCGCTTATGGATCAGGCTAGTGAGCCCTAAGTATTTCTAATATCATGCTCCATAAATCATTTATTTATCTAAGAAATAGTTATTGGATCCCTAGTATACAGCAGACTCTTTTTTGAATGTTTAAGATATTGAGACAAACCATATACATTCCTGCCCTCATGGTGCTTATATTCTAGTAGCAGGAGACAGAGATTAACAAGTAAACGAATAAATGAATGAGCATTTCAGACAGGAAGAATGCTATAAGGAACAGGAAACAAAGGCATGCAGGAGAACTTGTCTGGGATGGGATAGGCTGCCTTTGGAGACATGAGTAATGAGAAGCAGTCAGACGTAGGAATAGGCAGGGGAAGAGTTTTCAAACCAGAGGGAGTAGAAAAAGCAATGGCCTTAAAGCAAGAGGAAGCCTGCTGAATTTGAGAAACAAATACAGAGCCAGTGACACTGGAGTCTAATGAACATGCTAGAGTGTGTGGGACAGGAGATCTGAGCAGAAGGCAGGTACCAGGCCACATTGGTCCTCTTGACCATGAGAAGGGATTTGACTTGTATTCAACTTGCAGTGTTTTCTAAATTTTCAGGTAGTAGAAGGAGAATGTTTTTGAAAATCTCATAAAAGCTTTCAAAGATTAATTATATCTTCTATAAATTCCTGTAGCTATACCTGTATCTGATTCACTAATGCGTTAAATCACAAGAGAGAAATGATTTGGAAAATGAGAAGTCAGTGGTGGANTAAATTCCTGTAGCTATACCTGTATCTGATTCACTAATGTGTTAAATCACAAGAGAGAAATGATTTGGAAAATGAGAAGTCAGTGGTGGATATAAGATTAGAACACGATCTAATATAATGCTCTAAACATAGGCAACCTAAAGTATGTCATTTGCTTTAGATATTGGAGAGTTACATGTAAAAGTAATTTTAACCCTTTGTAGCTGTTTTGCACCCAAAACTAAGTTTTTTGAAACAAATCTAAACAGAAAAGTACAAATCCATGTTTGAGAAAAGTACTCACAGGAGTCATTCCAGTTTCAATATGAGTGTGTTCTTTGGCTGTTTCCCCACAACAGCTCTAGTTGTAAACAAGGCCAGGTGCCAAGCAACAACCAACATGGTACTGAAATGTATAAATACATTAAGTGACAGAGTAGCACATGTTTGTTTCTTAGAGGCAATGGCCTAAATCTCTTGAGAATTCAGTAAGTGAGCTGACCCAATTTCATGATGAAGAATAGTATGTCCTATAAGTGCTATGCAAATTCAGTGGAGGGACCTGTATCACCGTGTGCAGAAGCTACAGATTTCATGTGGGAAGCAGGGCATGGAGGGGGCTGCCTAAGTGGCTGGGTTTGGAAAAACTCCCAGATAGGACGATAACAAAAGCCAAAGCACTGAGGTGCCAATGAGCTAGGCATACCAGATTGCCTGCAGTGGACGATTTCTTTTGGAGAAGAGTGGAATGGATGGATGACCTTGTATTTTTAGAGGTCCTTAAATACTGGGCTTAGTAGGAGTTTTGGTTTTACCATAAGTTCATTGGAGTCAGTGAAGGGTTTTGACCTGGGGAGTGGCATGAGGAAGGTGGTGACAAATTTGGAAGACAAATTTGAGAGGACTTAGTCGCAGTTCTAGAATTTCTACATATGGTGTGGCATAGAGATATCAACCTATTTAGAGTAAGAGAC